GTTTTTTGAACTGATGTGCATGCATGAGTACCTTTGATAGAACTCGGTCACAACAAGCAGGAAAATATACGAAAGATGGAGCCAAAAGAAAATTTAGCAAATCAAATATAAATAAAATATAAATAAAGGAGACGCATTGGAAACGAGAAAGATATAAAGTTTGAACAAACAAAATCTATAGTTCAGTTGTAGAGTGGAAACACAAAGTGATGGTGAGCGAAAAATAGCTTGGAGAGTATGGAGAGTGTAAACAAATGTGGTTGATTGGAGAGAAGTTATAGGGGTGTATCTTGTACTAGAGAGACGTTTGTTTGATGCTCGCGTTTGCCGCGTTCAATTGCAACAATGTTTTGATTCTGCGAGGATTCATTGCTTAAAGGGTGCGTTATAATTTCAGTTGTTGAGTGAAGAAAGAGAGACAGAGAGTTAGATAGAGATTTCAGGGTGTAGAAAGTGGTACACAATTACAAAAACAAAAAAAGTGTTATCTATGTATGTATATAGCAAATGGAAAATCAAATTTAATTTCAAGTTATGTAGCTAGAGTTTGCGAAACAGGCTAAGTGAATCCATTACGGGACTAATTGAAGTTTGAAAGTGCTGCTAAGTGGTTTGTCGTTGTTATGTAGGTATTTTGGCTGCTTTCAGTGACAGTTGGAGAGTTATTTAATATAATGCGATGTTTGCGCTTGTTTTTTTTTTTTTAATTTTTTTTTTGTGTGTGTAGTTTTGTGCTCTTTCAAGTTTTCGCATTTAACGCTTCATTTTCGCAACCTTAGGTTCTCATAACTTTTTTCTTTTAATTTTTTTTTATTTTCGCTTTACTTGTTTGGTTCTGAAAATGCTCGGTTCAGAAGGAGTATGAATTAAGATTCGGCAGTTAATACAGAAATCTCGTTATATATATTGTTTTTTCGATTTACAATGCTATTTTCTATATATTTTTACGTATTTTATGTTTCTTTGTGCACCAGCAGTTAGACGCTGGCACAATTTAAATGTTTTTAGTAATAACTGCAGCGTGTGGGAGGCTGTAGAGGGAAAGAAACAGTTACTGTTTAAGCATTTGTTTACATGGTTTCAATAGTTTACAAGCATACGATGATCGTCGGTTAGCATATACGTAGTTATGTATGTAACTAAGCTGAATTGCGTGTTTCCGAACCTTGAGGAGTTTAGCTTTTTTTCATTTTTTTTTTCCAATAGTCCTAATTACCGCTTTCGTGGCTTAATTTCAAACTAAATTTTAACTGCCGCGTCTTTGCGGCCCAACATAACTGAACAAGTGTTGGCCAATACACCCAGAAAGTCGCTTAATTTGATTAATTATTTAAGTAATTTGATTTTCGCTTGCGTTGTTTAAAAGAAATATGAGACTTACATATGTACATACATGTATGATATAGATATACTGGTATTTCGTAATACTTACACTAGTTGCAAGTAGTGTAGTAACAGTTATGGCAAATTTTAAGTTGTATTGTAAGCGTATAATTTTTCAAAAACAATACACAATTTTACTTTCAAAAAGTTTGCGCTACTGAAAATGCTAGTAAAATGCACGTAAATTTTATTACATCAACAAATTTAATTAATTTAATTACTGTTTCTCATAAATTTGATTTATAATAATTTTTTTTTTAATTTTTTAACTTCTTTTTATTATATGTTAATTTTTAATCGCAAATTTATTACAACAATGCATGAATTTATGTACATATAAGCGTAGGATGCTGACTGATTTGTAAGCAATTGGTAAGCAAATCAAAAGTGAATGCAAATGAAAAGTCGCTGCGTACAAGTGATGGCAATGGAGTTGGACGGGGGGCTAGAAACAAGGCGAACGCGCTCTGTTTTTCCGCACCGCACACATGAGTATACTCAAACGAAATTTGACAGGCGCTGAGCGGCGTATGTTTCTCTAGATTGGATTCTAACTTAGTAACTTTCAACGGGGAATATCATCAATGTAAACTTTGGCAAATTTTAAAATATCACTTCCTTTGTGAAGAATTTTAAGTATTTGTCAAAGCTTTTGTTTGCATTAAATCAGAAAAAAATCAAATCATTCGCTCCATACTGTTACATAAAGCTAAAATAAAATATATAGTAGGTTTTAATAGGCAGCTTTGGTAATTTGTATATACGTATATATGTATATATAGGTATATATGTATATAGTATTAGTACGATACATACACGCCTTCTTAACGTACGTTGCTAAAGCAATGATACAGTACAACATAACAATATAAGTAATCGAGTTATACTCATACTGCATTTAATTAAATAAATAATTATTTTATATGTATGTACGTAAACAGAAAATACACTCTTCAAACTTGCCTCTTTGCAGCTGTGTGCAAGCCAGCAGCAGCACCACCAGTCCCAGGCAGCTACCCAGCCAATTGCTATAACTTGTTCGATTCATAGTTTACCAAGTTGTAGCTGCTATAGATCCACCGTTTAAAGCGCTTTCACCACCAGCAACAGCCTTGCCTTTAATTCGTTTAATTGGCTATTTTATAAAAACGCCCTTGTGATTAAAAAGCACTTTTCACATTAAAATGCGCAGCAACTAGCCACAAATAACAGTAATTTCTTAAAGCAGCGTTTTTGCGAAAAATGTTCTTTACCTTTTCACAAATTTTTGTCTGATTTTACATATTACAAATTGAGATGAAAATTTCAGCTTTCACAAATGGGTGCGGATTCGTTGATTCTGCATCTGCTGGATAAAATCAATTTGAAGAATCCTTTCTTAAACGACAGCGCACGACATTCCATTGGAATTTGGTCTCCAGCAGTTGCGAGTACTCACGCATGCGCTTTGCTGTTGCGCGCTCTCGCTCTACACTTTTGTGTTCTCACATTTGTTTTCTGTTTTTATTCGCACTTTCATCACAACATCGCCATCAGCTGTTTGCGGAAAGTTGTTTACAAGCCATATGCAGGTTCTGCAAATAGACGTTTGCATGTATGGTGGTCACGTGTTACAAATCGGAGCAATGGCCACTTTATAGTGTTAATGAGTAGGGTGGCATGTTGGCAAGTGTACGAAACACGAAGAAAAGTTTTTTTTCTTTTTTTATTTTTCAAGTCACATATTTTAGATAATTTCAGAGAAATAAAACAACAATATTTTATTAAATATTTTTTTTTATTATTATAAATCAGAAATTTTATTGTTGCCCCAACATATTTTCGTAAAATGTTCATCTTGTAATGCTATCTAAGAATCAACCCATTATTCGATGTCGCCCTGTGAATGGAACTGCTTCTGAGCCAGACCTTAAGCAACCGAATGGAAAAAATAATATCGTACGATGCTTCTATTTGGTAAATATAGCAATTGGGATAGAAGTTCGTCTTTAAGTGCTTCCAGGTATGTTTTAAAGGGTTTAGAAATATGTATGAGGTCATGCGTGGTCATATAACATAATCACTTTTTCCATCTTTTGGCATAGAGGTAAGAAGAAACCCAAGTTCCTAGTTTCTGAATCATTTCCAGCACATGTTATCGTTTTGAAATGGCATGACGTCTGACTCTAAATGCCGAAGCAACCTCTTCTTGCGTTTCACACGTATTCTTATCGAGTAACGTCTCCAATTCACAGTCACCGAAAGTGTTTGGCTTTTCTTCACGTGTATGGTCATTAATACTGAAATGGGTGAATTTGAAGCGAACGAAACCAATCAAGGCATATTTTTTTTTCGTTTGGGACAGCAGCTCCGTTAACTTTTTGGAGTTCTCGATGTGCTTCAGTCGCTGAAATATTTAACTGAAAGTCGAAAATGACGATTATTTGGAAAATTATCGGAAATGTATAAAATATTTATGAAAATCATCAGCGTGACGAGTTGAGTCAATTTAGATATGTCCGTCTGTCAGTCCCCTATATATATGCGTACTGGACTCTCAGTTTTTGAGAAATCGATCTGAAATTGTAACATGTGCACTTTTTCTCCAGAATATGCTCATTTGTCGAAAGCGCCGACATCTAAAACGATTCAAATGATATATATACGTAATACGTTCTTTTGATATGCTTATGACTTCATGCGTATTATTCTTTGAGATGAAGACACGGATTTCTTAGACGCAGATTCAGACTCAGACTCTTCACTGCAAGACTAAAACCATTGACGACACATGTCACACATGTAAATGTGACACACATAAATATGAAAACCAAAGCAAAAGGCCGCAACGGCTTATCACACTATTTATGAGATTTTCCTTAAGCCAAAGGTGTCTTTCCAATATGTTTTGCTGCAAATGCAAATAATTGTTAATTATGTTAATTCGAAGTTGTTAAGTGAAACGCGAAACCTCACACAACAAAGCCCAGCTACCAATTTATGAGACTGAACGAATTTTATGGGCACTTTTAGGTTCGCGTCGAAGTTTAATTGAATTTTCTTGCTTCTTTCATATAAACGAAAGTTTTTTCTTCATTTCTAATTAGATTACACATATTTTTTTAACTAGACTGTTGAGAGCGACAAACATAGGCGCACATATCTAGAAATGTAGATATATTTTTTCTAGGCACCAAAATGGATTAGGCCACCGCGAGCAAATGTAGTGGAAATGAACTGGTCCACTAATAAAACAAACGAAACGAATTCATAATTAATCCAAAGCGAGAAAAGGTTTACGGGCCTACGGCTCATATTTTCATTTTCTTAGTGAAATTCAATTGAACAAATTAGTTCAGACGATGCCTAGTTCCACCGCCGAAGAAGAGTAGCACACCAAATTAGTCAGACTATTAACATTTTAACTAATTTCCTAAAGCACACTCTTGCGCATACAAATAAGACAGCGCATATGCACCTGTGACTACTAACTACACATACACACACGCGTGACCGTTTGCGGCAGCGTTGTGAACCGCAGACCTGACGCTTAGCAGCACCGGTCGCTGTCCTTTGATCTGTGCTCCATTTAATTGCTCACTTAAGGTAACGGATTTTTCACTTAGAGAAATAACAGCTATCGGCGCGCCAGCCAACCAAACGGTCAACTAATGGTACAGCTTAGTACCGAATTAATTTAATGCTAAAACGGCTGCTCGCGCAATCACAGCAAAGGCTGCCGCTTTTGCTGCTAACTCGCACCATAAATTAATAGACCATTCTTCACCTGACCAATACCTTAAGCTTGAACACACATCTCGCTACTTCGCTTTGCCTATGCACGAATATGCGGCGGTGTAGAGAAATTGTCACCATTAGCCGTCCATAAGTTGACAAATTTCGGAAACCATTTCCAATGTTTATCTAATCAGTGGTGGAAATGCTTAAAGTAGTCTTGTTAGTGCAGTCAATTTGTCAACAAATGTTGCACATGTCAAACGCAAATTTATGTTAATGCAATGGTGCTACGCTGAGGTAGACACATGCATACAAACCTGCAAAGTTTCTTCTCCTTCGTTATAGCCGAGTTAACAGCAGCGCGTCAGTCGTTTCTTTTTTTATTGGTTTGCGCCATTTCGAGATACCAAGTCCTTCTCCACCTGATCCCTCCAACGGAGTCTTCATTTTCTTCTGCTTCCACCTGCGGATTTTTAAGAGATTCATCCTACCGGTACTGCTTCTAAATTCTTTAAAATTGTGATGATCATTGAGTTTTGTAAGATCCTTTCTTCAGTTGTACTGTTTAATATTGAAGCAATTTTAGGGTATTTTGGCATTCTACCAGGTTTGTCCTTAAAGTAATAGGATTGAGTCGATTTAAAAAAGTTTACTGAACCAATCGCTACAATGCTGCGTCGATACAGCGCTACAGGCGCGATTTCCAACCATTGACGGAAGGCATTATCCGGAATAGCTTTGAGAGCCGAGTTGCATGCTGCAGGGATCCCCTCTGTCGTTGTGCGCCACTCGGAAGGCTGCCTCTTTGTCTCGGGATCATACTCAAAGATCTATGTCACGCCACCTGTGATTAAGTTATTCAAAAATGGGGGGTAACTTTCACACATGTTCAAATTTTCTTGACACTCTTCCCCTCGCCGCAATTTCTGGTCGTCAGTGAGCACTTTTGGGACCATATTAGCGTACACCTTCCGCATGTTCAAGTGCTCCGTCACAATGTTATGAACCATAGATTTCGATACATTTAATATCTGGGCAATTAAACGGATATCAACTGGACAGTCTGAGTTCAAAACTTTGCTCACACGATTCACATTGTCGGTGTTTTTCGAAGTCGCAGGTCTCCCAGCACGGTCTTCATCATCGATCTCCTCCCGGTCCTCCAAAAAGGCCTGATGCCACCGAAGTACACCACTTCTTACTAAAGCAATATCTGGGTAAGCCTGCCTGATCATATCAAACTTCTCTGTCGCATATTTACCGAATTGTCCTGACTCTCGGAGACAACTGACCAGCTGCTCTTTCGTTAGTTAGGAACGCTCTCTACCGAATCCAGTCGGTGGATACACACTCCGAAGTACTGTCGCGGCGGAAGAACATCAGTCATATTACTTTGCGGACAAACCCTGTAGATTGATTGGTGAACAATGATTTTGCGCCGATTGATATGTGGACCCGCGTTGTCTGCTTTTTCATCAACAAATATTTGCTAGATGGAGCAGCCGCCAAGCCCCTAGACGAACAACATATCGTAACCTACTGATTCCGATCAGTACAATGTCCTAGGATGCCTAAATATCAAAGTTTGTTATATTTTTGTATTTAGTCAAGCATCACATTGTACGGTTATTTCTCCATATTAACATTCCCAAAACAGTCTTGCAACTACTATTTGGGCTTGTAACGTTAAGCTAGATCTCAGTAGACATGCGAGCAAGTGCTTATTTCTATTAAAGACACATGCCTCTGCCACATGCATGCACATGTGCCACATCACATATAAACAAGTAGGCAACATGTGGGTGCATGCCACGTTCGTAGCGGCGTTGTGTACTTAGAATTGCACATGAAAAAGGAGTTGCAGTTAATTTCGTTGAATGCTTTGGGCATTTCGCGAACTCATTTCGAGCTCAATCAAATCAAATAATTTATTTTGTGGAAATTACCTGGCAGCGGGGTCAAGCGCACAGATAGACCCATACTCACCGCTACAACTGGACGCTTATGCATGTTGCTGCTTTGAGCGAGCTTAAGTATTCCGTGATAAATATCTATGAGTTAACCGCTGCTCAGTAGGCACATATGTTGGCAGCGTAGGATACTCGGTACCGGTGTATGTACAACTATTTGGCTGCATTACTAGAGGCCTTTTTATTTACATGGCTTCAAATTACTTCATTAAGTTTACGAATGGCAAATTTCGTCTGTGATATACGAGCTTTGAAAGCTTTTTGGCAGGCGTTAATATTTTATAATAACTAATTTGAAAGTTTTGTATGGAATTGAGTTTCATATAGAATTTAATACCGCTTATAATTGTGGTATCAATATTTCTTTTTTTTTTATTAGCCATTTCGAGAAGCATGAGAACTTTTTCGCTTCAGTTTAGTAATATCGAACTCGCATTCAAAACTGTTACCGGTATAAGCGCATAAAAGAAATATTATTGTTCACAGCTTTTTATTGACTGACAAGCATTTCCTGCTTTATGGCCTGCTTTATGTTAGGAATAGAATACTATAAAGCTATTAAGTGCACTACTAGTGGCACCCTAAGTTAGAAGCCATGTATTATCTATCCATAATCGTATTGTCCACAGCCAATACACAGCAGGTTAACGAGTTAAC